CTGTGTTAACATTAAGCCATGAGTAATACCATTTTATGTGGACTTGGGTCAACACCAGGCAGGTCTGAACACCAAGGCAGCTGCTCAGTTTTCTATTCCGCTGTAGTGTTTCTCACATAAAATTCTGGTATTTCTTGTCTGCTGTTGGATGGAGGCAGGGCACTGGAAGCTCTGAGGATGAGAGCAAGTTCCTTATTCATGAAATATGTGTAGGAGCCATGCTAAATTAGCAGGAGGTTCATAACAGGGTTTTCTGCAGCCCTGTTTGACTAAATCGCCAGGCTAAGGGGTGTTATCAAGGCTAGCTAGGCCTGTTTCGATTCCATTGGCAGTAGCCAGTGGGAGTGCCCTGTAGCTAGGTGAACCCGGGCTGGCTGGCCACAAAATCCCAATAATTCACAGGAGAAGAACCCAGTCAGGGCTGCCTTGCTGAAGCCAACACTGTGAAAAAGTCTCTCACCTCCCACTGCTCCAGGTCCCTGCAGCTTCTCTTTGGATTGCTGTAAGATAAGCCCAGCTAGGCCCCATCTGCACTAAACATTTAAAGCAGCGTCATACCATTTTAAACAGCGACGGCTCCCCGCCCCAAGAAACAATCCCGGGAACTGAAATTCATTCAGGGTGCTGAGAATTGTAACAAGACCCCTGTTCCCTTCACAGAGCAGCCATTTCAAGAGTTCCCTAGAAAACAGGCATGACAGCTCAATACAGTCATACCTTATGTTATGTTTGCTTCAGGTTGCGCGTTTTCAGGTTGTGTCCCGCAAGTAGCGGAAAGGGTTACTTCTGGGTTTCGCCACTCGCGCATGTGCAGACACGAAAAATGAATTCACACGCATGCGCAGAAGCGGCAAATCACAACCTGCACGCGCAGGTGCGGGTTGCGTTCCTTTCAGGTTGCGAACAGGGCTCCGGAACGGATCCCGTTCGCAACCAGAGGTACCACTGTATTTGTTTCAAGGGGGCCAGGCCCCCTTCATCTCCAGGTGGCGCTGTGGGCATTGTGTCATACGTGTGACATGTGATTCATGTCCAGTGGCCAGCTCCTCCAGAGAGCGCTCAGCCTCCTCCGCCGTGTGTGCGACGTGTGCCGCCCTTGCCCCCCGTCTTGGGGACTTATTATTTATACCCCGCCCATCTGGCTGGGTTTGCCCAGCCACTCTGGGCGGCTTCCAACAAAAGATTAAAAATACATTAAAACATCAGTCATTAGAAACTTTCCTAGACAGGGCTGCCTTCAGATGTCTTCTAAAAGTCAGATAGTTATTTATTCCCTTGACATCTGATGGGAGGGCATTCCACAGGGCGAGTGCCACAAAAGAGAGAGATGGCTAAGCCACTCAGAGAATTGTAGTTTTATGAGAGAAATAGGGGTCTCCTGACAACTCACAGCACTGCTACAATTCCCAGGATTCTTCGGGGAAGCTAGGGCTGTTTAATCGGCATGATGCTGTTTTAAAGATATAGTGTCATTGGGGGTCTCGAGAGATATTCGTTGATCGATGTTGTAGCTTGATTGGCTGCTTTCATTTGCTTATGAGAGAAATAGTTCTGCTTTTAAGTGATGCAAATAATCTTTGTGGTAGACATCTTAGATCAGGCATAGGCAAACTCGGCCCTCCAGATGTTTTGGGACTACAATTCCCATCATTCCTGACCACTGGTCCTGTTAGCTAGGGATGATGGGAGTTGTAGTCCCAAAACATCTGGAGGGCTGAGTTTGCCTCTGCCTGTCTTCAATGCACCTCTCCCTCTTCTCTCTCTCTCTCTCGTAGTAGGAAATGTGTGTTTCAATACGTTGCTTCCTTCCCACTTGCAGTTTTATGTAAGTTTTACCTGTATTGAAAATAAAAATAATAAAATATGCACTGTTGCATCTATTTTAGTCAATGTGTTTTGAGTAGAGCAGTTGTCATCAACTGTATGGGCTTATTTGGAATTTTTCCCTTCCCTAGATCAGCAGAGAGAGAGAGCACACATAAACTTCTTTTCCAAGGAAACTGAAAGAGGAATTTCCTTCATCTCTCTGTACTTTTCAAGGGAGAAGAGGATGGCCACACTCATGGCCAAGACAGCAGTGATTGGGAGAACTTGGGAGACTTCCTGGGTTCTAGGGGAAGACCTCAAGGCCACCAGTGGTGCCTATGAAGTCCACACTGGCAACCCTTGGAATAGATTAATCTGGTTCAGCTACTGAGGTTGAAATCTTAAATACGCCTCCTTAAGAGTTAAGTCCCATTAAGCTTGGCAGAACTTGGGTTCCAGGTAGATGGGCACAGGATGGTGCTGTAAACGCTGCAGACCCAGTTTCAGAGAGAGCAGGAAACATCTCATGGAGAACTTAAGAGCATTTCAGGTATGCAGTTTCCGCAATTGTGCCATTCTGCAATGGGGCTGTGCAGGAGAAAGGCTGGCTTTCTCTTGCCTCCTTATGTCTCCAGCCCAGTTGGAATACTTTATAGGTTACACATGCAAATAATTCACCCTGAAGTCAACAAAAAGGGGTAGATCTCCTCCCTCCCATGACAAAACACAGATGGATGTTTAAGATATGGGAGGGTCAGGGTTTACAAGAGGATTCCTTTCCCGCAGAGTCCGGCAGCGGTGAATTTATAGCTTATACGTGCAGTTTGCTGTTCCTCTCTGCCGTCATCTTGGTGCAACTTTGAAAATGCATCCAGCAGTCGTGGTTTAGGTATTTTGCTCGCCAGTGCCTTTGGAGTCCAGCCTGCCACTTTAAGCATTTGACTGTGGGGCTGGTAAGTATAATTTTCTAAGAGCCCTTCTAATTTTCTCAGCAAGACCAGCGAAATAGACCCATGAACATAAAGGAATGAATAGTAATTGGTAGCACTGCTTAGGCAGAGGTTCTACAGCAATTTTAGTCTAGAAGTCGTTCACCGTACAGTATTTCATATGAAATGCATTTGTTTTCTACTTCAGTAAACTTGCATTGCTGCATAAGCCCAGTTTCATTGCTGTTTTATGAATTGTACCCAACTAAGAGATAATGTAGTTATGTTAGTCATGTCCCTTAATTCCAGTGGGTCTACTCTGAGTAAGCCCAAATTGGATTCAGTCTTGTGTGTGTATCTGCTGATTAAAATGGACTTTACAATTTTTAGATTCAGGTAGGTAGCCGTGTTGGTCTGATGCAGATGAAATAAATAAATAAAATTAAAAAATTGTCCAGTAGCACCTTAAAAGGGTAAAGGACCCCTGACAGTTAAGTCCAGTCGTGAACGACTCTGGGGTTGCTGCCCTCATCTCGCTTTAGTGGCCGAGGGAGCTGACGTTTGTCCGCAGACAGTTTTTCCGGATCATGTGAAGAAGTGTGCATGCACACGAAAACTTATACCCAGGACAAACTTAGTTGGTTTCTAAGGTGCTACTGGACAATTTTTTTATTTACAATTTTCATTTTTAAATGCACTGCTGACTAAGCCACCAGCCCATTTTCACAGATCAGTATATCTTTGTGGATGGGTTGAACTGGTGATAATGCAGCCGTTTTTCAAATCGCTTTCATAGGGAATTGTTTAGAATTTTCCCACTCCTTGCACGCTTGTAAAATGTTGCTACCCTTTTGCCGTTCTTGAAGGGGGCCGGGAACTTGCAAATACATAGTTTTATGCTGAACTTTTCTAAGTGGAATTGCAGCCCAACCAGAAACTCCTAAGGTTATCTCTGGTCTTCCAAAGTCACTGGCTGAATTCAGGTATCATGCCAACCCCAGCTTTCTTTTGAATCCGATTGAGAATGCTAACCATGGTTTGAACTCTCTATACAGTACAGGCTAACAAGTGGTTTAGAGATGGTTGTATACTTAGCACTCTCATATCTAGATTCAGGGACCTCCAAAGGTGCATCAGGTGCGTAACAGACACATTTTTGCAAGCAATTTCCTTAGTGGAAGCTTATTGAATATATGTGAATTTTTATAAACAGTTCCTAATAGACACATTAATTGTTTGGAAAACTGCACTGCACAATTCAGAAAAGTTCCTATGTGAGAAGACAGAGTAATTGGGGGTTTTCCTCCGCCTCCTGAGCTGAGCAATTGGATAGTGACGTTCTTACCCTTTGGAATAATCCCCAGGTCCATTTCAACAAATTTATCACATTTCCTTGTGTTTACTACTCGCTATCTGAAACCAGTGGCCTGCTTCTGATTCTCTCTTGTGATGCTGTAATGTGCCTCTTGTGTCACATGGCTCAGCTCCCTGTGTGATAACAACAGATGAAATGGCAAGCATAACATGAAAACAAGTCATGGGGCCATAAAGATTGCTGCATGTTGCTCTAAGGGTGTAATGCTGTTAGGTAATATTTTGACCAGCTCATTTGAGTCTTCAGATGCAACAATCTCTTAGAGCTAAACCACAAAGCCAAATTACAGGTTGCCTTAATCAGGCATGGCCAAACTTGGCCCGCCAGATGTTTTGGGACTACAGTTCCCATCATCCCTGACCACTGGTCCTGTTAGCTAGGGATGATGGGAGTTGTAGTCCCAAAACATCTGGAGAGCAAAGTTTGGCCATGCCTGCCTTAAATGCATTATGACACCCTCCCACCACCTTGCAAACACATCTCCTCCCTGCCACTAACATTATATTGGTTGCAGATGTGTGATTTGACATTCTGTTCAGCATTGCCAATGTAGCAGAGAAAACTGAGCCGTAGTAATGCTACATTATGTATGATATGTGCTTTACAACAACAACAACAACAACAAATAATTTATTATTTATATGCCATCCATCTGACTGGGTTGCCCCAGCTACTATGGGAGGCTCCCAACAAAATATTAAAAACAATAAAATAGAAAACACTAAAAACTCCTCTAAAAAACTCTTCTGAAAGTCAAGTATTAAGTAAGTGGTTCTCAAAGGTTTTTTTCTGGACAGCTTGACAATACTCTGGAGGAAATGGTGGACCACAACTTTTTTCTTCTTCAGTGCTGCTTTCAAAAGCAGACCTGTATTATGAAATTCATGGGCGCTAGGATAGCTCAGTTGCTTAGAGTGTGGTGCTGATAACGCCAAAAGTTGCAGGTTCAATTCCTATATAGAACAGCTGCATATTCTTGTGTCGCAGAGAGTTGGACTACATGATCCGCAGGGTCCCTTCCAATTCTATGATCCACCTAATGTAGAAGAGTCTGTTTAAGTTGGGGGGAAATGAGTATTGTTATAATAATTTATATACCTGCCTTTCATTTTGAGAAGAAACACGAAGGTGCTTCACACACAAGTGAAAGCCAACATCAAATTAACAAGTATTAAGCAATTATAAAAATATAGCTACACGTAATTAAAATACCTAGCAAAATGATTTCATCCAAACATCTGCAATTAAAACGTATAATAAACAAGCTCGTTAAAATGTAGCTCCAATGGTTAAAAACAGTTAAAAGAACACTTTAAACACAAGGTTGAAGCCAGGAGATCAGGGAACGATTGTCTAAACAGGTGTGTCTTCCAGAGATGGCAGAATGCCAGTACTGATGGGGCAACTTGTATTTCAGCAGGGAGGACGTTGCACAACAGCAGTGCGACTGGTGGAAATGTCCATCTCTGTGTTGCCACCAACCCGAATAGTCGTCAGGTCATGGCAAAACTAACTAGGTTCAATTTCTAAATTGCTATACTGCCCTTCATCCAGAAGATCACAGGGCAGTTTAACATACAAAACATTTCTGGGCAGTAAATGGGAAGGGGTCCTACCCTGGTCCAGAGTTGTTTAGGGCTTTGTATGCAAGTAATAAAATCTTAAAGCTCGTTTAGTGGTTAATAGGCAGTCAGTCCATATATCACTTAGCACTGGTGTCCAGAGTCAAACCCAAAGCACGGTCCCATAGGCAGTGTGGTGTAGTGGTTGGAGCCAAGGATGCCCATTCATCAACATGGGCAGTTCAGCAGACCCAGCCCCTCAGCTTGGCTTCCCTTTTGCACGCTGATTGCAGCATCTGGGCTTGATGAGGCCTGTGACCCTCACCTGTTCTGAGCCTACTGCAGCTGAGGAATCATACACCTTCTCCCAGAGCTAGCGAGCCCCACCTGGCCAGCTAGAAATCTGGGTTGTGGGCCCTTTCCTGCCTCAGCCCCCTGGTGCACTCCTGCTTCTGCTCCCTATTCCTCAGAGCCCATTGTGTTTGGGGAGACAGGGACCCTCTGGTTCTGGTGATGGGTCCTGCTGTTCTGGTTCCTGTGCATTGACCTTCATCACCCTGTGAGTACTTCCTTTCCCACTCCCTGCTTGCCACGGTGTGTCCCAGTCCCAGATCCATGTCTTGTCAGGTTCCTCTTCCTCCATTTCCTCTTCCCTGTGACACTGGCCATGCCTGGCTGGGGCTGATGGAAACAGAATCCTTCATCACCTGGAGGGGTGATACTCTGCCTTCTCCTGCTTTTTCTATGGTGCCAGATGCACTCCGGCCTACTTAGATGCACAGCTCCAAAGCTTCCACCTTTTTAATTCTACCAGCACTCGCACTTTCTTGGGTATTTCATCACTAAACCTTCTGACCTATCCAGTGTCCTGGTTTGGAACATAAAGACACCCAGGGCAGATTTTTAACTGAGGCAATTTCGATTGCAAAGAAATAGGCCACTTTAAGATTTTCCTTTTTGTATGCGACATTCAAAATATATTCCATGGGGAAGATGTTTGGATGCTTGACTTGTCAAGACAGAGACTGCAGTTTATAGTTCTTATGCAATTCTTCTTTTTACCGCAGTAAGGAGCAGAAACATCAAATCCTCAGACTGAAATGTGTATGTGTGTGTGTGTGTGTGTGTGTGTGTGTGTACACACACACACACACACACACACACACACAAAAGTGTTTTGTAAATGACTAAACACAGATTCTGATAGTGGAATGCTGTTTATGCAAGAGCAAGGAATAAATACCCACTGGATTATTCGTAGCACAGTCAAATCGATTTTAGAATCAATGAGACTAAATAGGTTTAAAGTCAGGCTACATCAGCATAACTCACTTGTGAATTGGAGTGCTTAGACCAATAATACATGCCACAGAAATAATCTAATCCTTTTAACCCTGCGTGCATGCATTGATACTTGGGGATTTGAACTCTTAACACAGCCAGTGAGATATATTTGCACTGAAACTAAAGTTCAGTGCACAGAGCTGGCGTTTTGGTGACACAGATTCTGATTGCTAGGTGTGTTTTGTTTTTGTGTTTTGTTTTTTAAAGTGTTCATGGGTGACTAGAGGGCCAAGCCCAACATTATACAGTAAATCAGACATTGCACAGAAAACGTGCATCTATTTCAGCGTTGATGCTTAAAAATGCAAATAGCTGTGAGAGGCTGCAGACTTTTCTGGAAGATATTCGTATTTTTCTTTGTGGATGGAAATGCAGTGTTTGAATTTTGCACTTCTGCAAAATCTGCTTGAAAGAGGCAAAATTGGGACGAGTGCACACACCATAAACAGTAGTCCCACTTTCAAATTACATTCCATGAAGAAATAACTACCTGCCACTCAGTGTTTGAAATTAGCCAGGCGCTAGGCGCATTTTGCACCTGGCTATTGGCCACTTGCAACCAGGTGGAGATGCCTGGGCGCTAGGACGCTGCATGACGTCTCCACCATCTGGAGGTGCGTGCCTGGGGATCATTGGATCTTGACTGTTTTCATATACATCCTGTGGAATTCTATCAGTTATAGTTTATCTGCACAACCAGAATGAATTTCAGAAACCAAATTGCTTTTTTCTGTGCAGGCTGAGCAGGAGCAGTGAACAAGGTTATAGTTAATTGTTATCGCTTTTCTCCACTTACCCCTCCCCCTGCCTTGCTTACATTGTGAAGAATATTCTTAAGTTATGACTGGTCTGTGTCACCCTTAAGAAAAAGAGGTAGGAATAGACTGATATATATGTGGACTGCCCCTGGATAAACTGCCTTTTCTTCTTTAAGTTCTCAAAGCTCTTACCTAGCTCGTGGTTGTCATCTGAACTAGCCAGATGTTCAAAATTAATCACAGTCAGTCCATCATTTGAAAAATAAGACTTTGGAGCTGTCTTGCCCCAAAATGGCAACTAGACTTTCCATTTTCGTGTCTGTAACCCTGGTTTACTAAGGGACGCGGGTGGCGCTGTGGGTTAAACCACAGAGCCTAGGCCTTGCCAATCAGAAGGTCGGCAGTTTGAATCTCCACGACGGGGTGAGCTCCCGTTGCTCGGTCCCTGATCCTGCCAACCTAGCAGTTCGAAAGCACGTCAAAGTGCAAGTAGATAAATAGGTACCGCTCCGGCGGGAAGGTAAACAGCGTTTCCGTGCGCTGCTCTGGTTCTCCAGAAGCGGCTTAGTCATGCTGGCCACATGACCCGGAAGCTGTACACCGACTCCCTCGGCAAATAAAGCGAGGTGAGCGTCGCAACCCCAGAGTCGGCCACGACTGGACCTAATGGTCAGAGGTCCCTTTACCTTTACTTTTAACCTTGGTTTAAGGAGCCATTTGGCGCCTAGCTTTAAATATATGAGTTTCTAACACAGCTCTTGGCCTAATTTCAAAAGTTACCTGTGAGTGATCAGCTCAGATTTCTGGCAAGACTGATCTGTCCCCTTAACTGGCAGGCTAGTTGACAGAAAGACCAGAGGGTAGGGAGTTGGCCCCACCCACCAATAGCTGCAGCTCCTTCCACTGACCGCATGCAACCCCCTATAATAAGGGAAATTGCCCCTCAACAGAAAAGTGATTTCTTTGTTTCACACTCTTGCAAAGGGATGCCAATTGAATGTTGGAAATACCCTTAGCTTTGGCCTGCAGTAGCCATGGGAGTCTATCCCGTTTGCTGCATGTTGTGATTTGTTTTTGCATTTTGGAGGCCTCCCTGTGGATTTAAATTTGGCTTCTTGCCTATCAGAGGAAGATTTAGCAATAGGCGTGTCTTTGTAGTGTTCCTAGGAAATCCCCAGAGCTAAAGGCAAAAGTGTGGCTCCATTTTTGGGATTTCAACATAACCGCTTCTGTCTTCGTGCACAAACTGGTTCAGCAGAGTTCACTCTGTCTCAGATGGCGCATCTGCTGCACAAACGCTTCAAGGAGCCTGGGATTGCCACACATATTCTGCTTTCTCCCTCTTTGTTATGATGTATGCTCATGCCATAGTTACCATGGGAGCCGGTGAGCTGGTGGGAGGGGGGGGGGGAGAATAAAAGCCTTTTCTTAATTGCTAAATGTTGCAGCTTTCCATGTACGTTAGCTGACATCTCTGGTAATTGGATTTCACAGATATTGTCTCTCTCTCTCTCTTTCCACCCCGCATTCTGCTGTTGCTTTCTGTGTTTTGACTAATACTCTACTGCAGCATTGCCTAGCATCCAGAAAGAGGCACGTTTATGGTTCCCTTCCCTCCCGCCTGGTTCTGTTATTGCTGCTAATGTGCAAGGCTTTGTGAGTTTCCAGAAAGGACTGAGCAAGGTTCAGCTTACAAGCCCCACCAACAGAAGGCTGCACAAGGTCTTCTGCTAGTGCAACGAGGCTTCTCCCCTAGTGTGCCCCCCCCAAAAAATAGGTTTGGTGTGTGTGTCAGGAGAATCACCGGGACAGCGCATGGGGGGCAGAGAGGGCAGATCATTCCATCAGGCAAGCAGAGACTCTTGCGCTGAAAAAATCACCTGCTTAGCACTATGCTGAATTCCTCCCACCATGTTTTGTGGTTCTGCCTCCAGCACACAGCTGTTGCCTCTTAATAATAGAAAACTCTGGGAGTATTGTGACTTGAAGAAATATCCCACCGGGCTCTTTAAGGACCATTGCGTTCAGATGCCCACTAGAACAACCTTCTTCTGTTGCATGGAGAACATACATCTTATCTTTGTAAGCTGAAGAAAACTTGGTGTGGAAGAAGACCCGTTGTAAGCATTCATGTTTCCCTCCATTCCTGAAACCTCTGGTTAACTGGTTTCCAGGCCCAATTCAAAGTGCTGGTTTTGACCTAAAGCAGCTCAGGACCGCAATTCCCCAAGGACCGCCTCTTTCCATATGAACTTACTCGGACCCTGAGATCATCTTCTGAGGCCCTCCTTCATGTGCCTCCTCCTCGAGAGGTCCGGATTATGGAAACACGAGAACGGGGCCTTCTCTGCAGTGGCTCCCCGTCTGTGGAATGCTCTCCCCAGGAATGCTTGCCTGGCACCTTCATTATACACCTTTAGGCGCCAGGCAGAAACGTTCCTTTTTAAACCAGGCCTTTGTTGGTTTGATTGGCATCCCATGCCCTTTTAAAATGTGGCTTTATTTTTTTGGGGGGGGTTATTGCATTGTTTTATTTTTATTATTATATATTTTATTATTATATTTTGATTTTGTTCTCTGAACCGCCCTGAGACCTCCGGGTATAAGGCTGTATATAAATTCAATCGATCAATAAATGTTTTCAGTTCCCACTGGAGCAGGGCTAAACCCGTGCCACTGACACTGGTGACCCCAGCCCTTGTGAGAAGCACAAGGATGCTTCTCACAGAATCATAAAGTTGCAATGCAGGAATCCTTTGCCCAATGCAGGGCTTGAACCCACAACCCTGAGATTAAGAGTCTCATGCTCTACTGACTGAGCTATTGGCAGTCATCCAGGGGAAGGCCGTAGCTCAGTGGTAGAGCAACCGCCTTGGATATAGAAGGGCTCAGGTTCAATCCCGGGTATCTGCAGGTAGTAGGGATGGGAATGTTTCCTGTTTGAAACTCAAGATGGCCACCGCCAGTTACTGTAGACGGCACTGAACTAGATGATTCTGTGTTCTATATTAGGTGCAGGGAAAACTTGGCCCTCCAGCTGTTGCTGAACTACAACTCCCATAAGCCCCAGCAAGCATGGCCATGGACGATGGGAGTTGTAGTTCAACACCATCTGGAAGACCAAAGGTTCCCTGCACTTGTTCTATAGCTTCAGCCTTGCCTCTGATTTCGCTGAGTGGATTTAGGCAGGCCTTATTCTCTCAATGTCGCAAACAAAACACACACCCCTTCCCAACGTGAGGGAAATAATTCTCTACCTTTCAGAGTCACCGTGAGGATTGTGACGGGGGTAATTGTTTTATTTATTACGTTTTGAGGGTGGCGCACACGGTCCACCCCTTTCCAATTGTATCCTTGCAGCAACCCTGAGAGACAAGTTAGGCTGAGAGAGTGAGCGCCACGCCAGAGTAGGATTTGAACCCAGTCAAGTCCTGGTCCGGCGCTCCAACCACTACACCACACTGCCCCCTGACACATAAAGCACTTTAAGCACGCAAGAGGAGCTCTTTAAATGCCAAGCGCTTTTGCTTTCTCCCATTTCTGTCTTCCGTTTCTGAAGAAGGCAGGGAATTGGAAGGGAATTTGTTTGAAAAATCAGTACTGTACCTTGGAACGGCGGTGGAAAGCAGCCTAGGTGGAGTCGTGTGTGTGTGTGTGTGTGTGTGTGTGTGTGTATTCAAAGCTCCCTTGTCACACAGACAAGGTTTGCTGTCTTCCCTGTGAGTCATCATTATAGCTCGCAGCTCCCTGAATTCCAGCTTAGCAGCGTGAGAGCAAGATTTCTAAGAGGGGGGTGGAGGCGGTGGAGAGGTGTGCCTTCGCTTTCCAGAACCTAAAGGGGGAAAGAGGGATAAATATATATGCAGAAGGAAGTTGCTTTGGAAGAGGATGTTTAGATTCAGGGCTCCAGAATCCAAATTTTATCCCTGTCGCCTGTCTGCAGTGTGTGAAGAGGAAGGTAAGGACAAAAGAAACCCTTGTGATCTCTTTCCTCCTGTTAGAGAATTTGTCTTTGGGGTTTTTTTTTTCTTTTTATGCGATTGCTTCCACCTTCAGGCCCGTTGCTAAGATTCTGCTGCCGAATCAGATGTGTGCCTCTCCCCCCCCCCCAATTTGCACCACAGTGCTTGTCTTATTTTGATCTGTACCTAGAACGTAATACAAGTAAATATATATAAATGTAGTCAGGCCTTACGACAGCTGTAGAAGCCAGGGAATGGGGGCAGGCCGTCGTTGTGTTGCATCTGAAGCTTCCAGATTTATTCATTTTTAAGGAAGTTACTACAGAGATGTTAGGTACTGCCTGTCGATTTATTCTTTCACTTCCCCTTGGGGGAAAAAAATCTCGTGTAAGAATTTAATCCCTGGGAAGCTCAGTGTTGGGTGTAGGTAGAAGCACCTCACTCCCATGACGTCATTTTAAGCACCTGCTAATCCTAAATTAGGGTTATTCTGATGTTGCTGCTTTCCACTGGCAGGCCCTATCCTTTATAAGACCCCTGCCTTTAATTTTTTTTTAGTGTTATTTAATTTAAACAGCTCCACATAATATTGCGAGTGGCATTTCATCATTCTTCCCTTGGTCACCCCCTGAAATCTACTACCTGCCAGTGTCATTGGATTCCAGTAATGAGATTTATTTTTTTACAAGGTTTTTATTTTCCCTCTCCTCTTCACCCCCCACCCTTGTGGCCTCTAAACTAGGAAGGCTTTAAAAGGAAGTTTCGATCCTCTGATCACTCCCAATTGACCTTATCTACCTTTTCCAGGTTGTCTGTAATATCCCTGCACACAGTATTCTGGCTGCATCTGTGGCTTTAGATCTCTTTTAAATGTCCTTAAGGTGCTTGCTTTGTTTTCTTTCCCTTGTAGTCGAGAACATTAGATTTAACCGTGTTTACTCCCAAGTCATAACGCACCATCAAATCTAATGCGCACCTCAATTTTCAGAACCTTGAAACCCCCAAAAACTATTTGCTGGTGAATGTAAATGTGCCATCGAATCTAAAGCGCACCTTAATTTTTGCAGCATAATTGGGCCAAAAAAGGTGCACATTAGATTTGAGTAAATAGAGTACCTTTCATTTGTGTTTTCAGACCAGAAACCTCCCCCCCCCCCCAAATAATTCACAAATGACTCAAAATTTTGGTTTTGGTTTTTGGCAGAATTTAGGCCACAACTTTATTTATTAGAGAAAGTGACTGGTTGCATAGGCTCTGGTTCGGCTAGCTCCCTGCCATGCAGGTAGCACTGACCCACGGTTCTAGCATAGGTCAGCCAAGGGGGAACACCTGGATAAGCGGAAAGCCGGGAACGGGCTAACTCCGCCACCCAAATGTCCCCCTGGACTCAGGCACGGGCACAGCCCCCTCTCGGGTTGACCAAACCATCAAGTCCCTGGATTCCTTTAACGGAATACCCTTCACATAGGGATGGCGAGAGCATTATCCCATCCCTATCACCTGAGCCAGAGCCTATCCGCAACCTTAGAAGTTGTGACGATTTGCTACGCGGCAGGCGAAACCCAAATGGCAACAGCCAATAAGCCAAGTGGGGAAAATTCCTGCCATGCCCCTGTCCCAACGACAGACGACACACAACGGCATAGCAAGGTCAAGCACAACAAGCCCTAAAAGTAGGGAGGTGGGCGGGTGTTCCGAATGCACGCACCGAAAGAGGAAGCTCTGGGTCACGTGCATGGGCATAAATAGGTCCCTTGAACCATTTGGACTGCATCCCATTAGCCAGATGGTACCCAGCTTCAAGGGACCTACCAATCAGGTGTTGTGGCTGACCAATTGTACCCACCCACAACATAGGGTGTCGGTTTTCCAGGTCTCACCGCAATACGTGCCCTCTTTAAGGGAGGACCTGATTTACTTACTTACTTACTTACTGTGGCAGCCTGCCTGACATTGTCACTGAGCTTCCTACTATTGCCCCAAGGTCTCTCTGCTAGATATTGCAGATCCTAGTTTAGACTCCACCACTAAAATGAAGGTAGGTTTTTGGCCTTGCTGCCTATTACCATTCTTCTAGATTATACGAGTCCAGGAACATTTGTAGCCTTTGCTGTAGTGAGTACTTAAAGCAGACTTAAGATATAGTCCTAGTTTGGGACCTTGTGAAGTGTTTTCTGCACTTGGAAGCCAGTATGGATTACCTGCGGTATGCCAATACTGATGAGGTATATAAGCATATATACTGCAGTATATGATCTATCTAGTATAGAAAACCCTGAACAGCTTAGAACCACTTTACTTGTGCCATCTCCTTACTCCAGGTGCCCACTCGACCAATTCGATCTGCGAAACTGGCACTCTTACAGGTGCCACGTAATACCTGTTCCACACTTGAAGGAAACTGATATTTTACTGGGCCAGTGGCTGCACTTTGGAACTCCCTGCCACTTGACACCAGGCAGGCACCTTCACTGTGCTCTTTCTGGCGCCTGCTTAAAACACTCTTGTTTAGGCAAGCCTGCCCAGACGTGCAGAAGTTACATGTGTTTTATCTCTTTTTAGCTATAGTTGATTTTAATTCTTTCAGATTGCTTATATTGGATTGCTGTGAACCGTCCTGAGATATGATGAGGGCTGGTGTGTGTGTGTGTGTGTGTGTGTGTGTGTATACATATATATTGTTTTTATTTTTTTTTTACTGGTAATAATGTTTTATTTTATATTGTTGTAAACACTTCATTTTTTGTTTTGTTTTTAAATCAAAAGGTTTCTAAATTGCATAAATTTGTTTGAAAAATAACTATCTGCGCACTTTAAAATATTTTTTATTAATTAGTTAAATAATTTTTATTAATTTTCAATTACAAAAATCCAGTATGTGCCATATTACATTAATACCAAATAGCAACACCAATTCAAATACAAATAAATTACGTAGTCAATTATAAATTTTGTGTGGCTTCCCACGTGCTTCCCAAGGTCTGATTCCCTTTAATTTTGCCTCCAGACTGTTGCTCAAACCAAATACAATCCATTCTTGATAAAATCCCTTATACCACAGTTACAATGATTAACTTCAGTTCACATTAATATGTATAGTAATTTGTAAATTCACAAATTAAGTTCTCCTTTCTTCTTCCTGTGTGAGGTTTTAATCAATGGTTCCATCATTCCTTTTTCAAATATTATGTCCATATTAATTATTCCTGATCTCCTTGTTGACTCAGAGTTAGTCACTTAAAAATGTTCAGAAGCCATCACCCAATAATGGAACCATAGAACAATAGAATTGTAGAGTTGGAAGGGACCACGAGGGTCATCTAGTCCAACCTCTGGCAATGCAGGAATATTTTGCCCAACGTGGGGCTTGAACCCACAACGTTGAGATTAAGAGTCTCTACTGACAAGATATTTTGTATTTCCTTCCGCAAAACGCTGATCGGCAACAAATAATGCACAGTCGCAGAAATGGACACAACTGCATCTCCCGTCATTCAAGCTGAATAACTGGTTGTTGGCATCTGTCTGTCTCGGGAGACAATGTCAAACTTTTGGAAGGTTGCAGCGCCTGTCGTGGCTGTAGAGACCGATATGGGAGAGACATGTTTTGCTGCAGCCGGGGAAGATGAAGGAGTCTGGTTGTAATGCTGCTAATGCAATAAAATTAAATAACTATGTTTAAGCTAAATTTGGAAATTAGGGGCAAAATTACATTGGAGACGAAAATGTGTGATTTGGATGGTCAAAAAAATCAAGGTACTGGGCTGTATTCAGCTTCCCTCTTCTACTAGTTCAAGCCAGCACAGGTATTCCCACTAGTGCAGTGGGGCTCCCCCTCCCCCCGTTTTCCTCCAGCTCCTTTTGTAGCTCCACTCCAGAGGATTAGGAAAGCCCCCCAGAACAAGCGCAAGGTGGGCAGATTGTTGGATAAACACAGATGCTTGCATTGA